CGGGTTTAAAAAAAACCTAAAAAAAAAAAAAAAAAAAAAAAAAGGTAAAGCTTTCAGCTTTTATATATGCACACAGCATACTGCTGATTAGTGGACAAAGAAAAAAATACTAAAAAAAAAAAAAGAGAAAGCTCTTCTAAATAATAAGAGTTACAAGCATCACCTGTAGACATATTCACTGCAACACGCTTGCACATTCCTCATCCCCTTTAAAGTGCTTCCAAATCTCACGTTGGGCAATAACCACCACTTCTAACAGCTTCCTAAGGTTCTCCACTGGTGTCAGGGCTTATCCTCTGCCACGTTCAAAGCTGTTTGCACTAGAATCTAATAACACTTGACGTTCTGGATGTAAATGTTTGAACAAAGGGCACAGCTTCCTTCAGTGTTAACTTTCCTGTGTGAATAACCTGGATCTCCTGTTTCAGGAACTACTGGCCCCTGTGCAAAGGTTGGGTTCTTTTCTTCATTTACTTGTGTGTGTTTTTTGGTTTGTTTGTTTAAGTCAAGAAAATACGAAGATAACTGTTCTGAAAAAGCAGGACCTGACATGCTGGGAAAAGCTCATGACCTTCTCTGTGCTCTCCCACATGCTATTGCCTAGAAAATGGGTGATGCTGCTCCACCCATGAGAGAACCACAACTCCTGCCTGTCACCTGCTGAGAGCAGTTTCCAGGCTGCCAGTCACCGGGATTTTGTGCATTTTCTGGGAGAATGAGGAGAGGGTGTCAAAAGTGCTACAGGGAACTCCTCTATAAGAAAACTGCATCAAGAGTATCAGAGCAATAAGAAACAATCCGAGTTAGACTGAGCTCACTTAGAAGTGAGTACAAGGAGGAGAAAGGGTCTAATTCCCAGAATGAATTTCTCAAATTTACTGAACAAACATGTCTGAAAACTACCCCTTTTTTTGAAGCATGAAGAAAAGTCATACTAATTTACCTGCCCATAAAGTCATCTTTATCTGGATCTTCATCATACAAGTCCACTTCCAAATCCTGACCAGGTACTTCATGAACCACAAACTGGAGGAAAAAGAAGTGCTGATTTACAACAACGAGCATTCACACATGTTCCCAGCACAGGTTGTGGACAGGGACATAACACTTCACAGCTGTGACACATAAGGACACTCCCTGCTGCTTCATGGCTAATCTTAGAACAAGGCAATTGGTTACAGCTGAAAATAATTCAAAACCAGTTGGCTTGTTTTTGAATTGTAAGTTGACCTTCTCAAAGAGGGATCCTTAGTAAGGGTTTACAAAACAGGGTGAAGCTAAAGGCTTCCAATACAGACAGGAATCTGTTTTCAAGCAGACCAGCTGCACAGACTGCTACACTGATTAATATTTAAGCTCTGCATGTCCCCTGAAAACCCACACATGTAAATTGGATCAAACTGAGCACCATTTTACAGTTGCAAATCACATCTGAATCTGTTTAAGAGGCAGAATTGGCTGATCAGCCAGGTAACAGGGGAGTCCACAGAAGAGCTGTGCGTCCTGTAGATTGAAGGGTCACGAGATTCAGTACCTCAAAGGTCTCATTCCAGAGGGGGTTGAGATCTCGGGAGACCGTCTTGCTTCGGTGCTGCACTGTGCCAACGCGAAGCAGAGCGTATGGGTCAGACTTTCCCCTGATGGCACCGAGGAAACTGTCCTTCTGGACAAGGTTTTCAGCTTCCAGCAGATGAACTCTTACTACTCCCTGGGTAAAGAGGATGAAAAAATGGCCATGGAAGTGTGATCTTTGGATAATTACAATATGCTGCTTCCTAAAACTAGTAATTATAGGCAGAAGGGACAGTCAGCATGACAGGTTTGCAAAGACTGGCAATTTGATGCAGAATCTTTCAGATGGCAGAACTGTAAGACAGCAATTACTTTTTCCACCATTTACTTAGAAAAATCTCCTAAATGGATACAAAATTCAATCTAGATAATTGGGCAGAAAGTGTTCTTCAATTTTATTTTAAAATCAGAAACATATATATACACACAGAGGATGACAACCACAATCAAATCCTGTGTGTAATCAAGCTCCATTCCCACAAACTGAACAAGAAACCACTTGCAGGTTTCTATTTTATTGCAGAATGGCCATTCAATTTCAATTTGGTGAGGTAAGTTTACAAGCACCCGTCTCTAATTCATTTATATTTGCCCCATCAGCAAGTATATTAGGCACTTGGGAGATGTGGGAGACTGAAGATATGGATGTGTCAAACAGGAAGTTTGGGGCTTTTTTTTTCCCTCTTAAATATTTTCTTTAATGAAGAGATGTTATCCTCTGACTTTCCTTTTTACACACTTTCATAGCATTAGTAAAGAAATCAAAGTAGATGAATAATTCTTGCTCATGTAGTTACTTTCTCTAGCTGAAGATCTTGTGTTGTCATAGCCTCAGATCACACCAATGGTTTAAGTTGATAAATGAGCTCAGTGTTTAAACTGACTTCTCCACCACATACAGAGGATAGAACCCCTTCATCCTGACCCAAACAGAGAACTATCCAGTATTTCCGATATTGGATATTTACTTACAGGTAATATTTGAGGTATTACCTACAGAAAGCCTAAAATCCATGTGGAAACAGCTGATGAGAACGGGATGTGCAGGACCCTGGCACTGAACTCGCTTGCCCCTCTCAGGGAATGCGTGCTCCAGAAGTGCACCAGGTTCACTGAAAACACTCACATATGGGACAGGGAACCTCAGGAGGGCAATGTTCATGTTCTTCTTCAGAGGCACCGTGACTCTGTTTGGTAGAACCAGCCGCGAGGCAATGAAGTCCTGAATTATCGAGTCCGACATTACACTGCAGGAAGAACAAGCCAAAACAACATACCTAAATCTCTACGATCCATCACAATTATAGTTAGAATGGAAATATGTGGCACAGCAAGAGGAAGGGGCTCTGCAGAACCTATGATCTTACCTTCCCCAGCATTTACCAGGCAGCTTCTTGGGCTAAGACTGTGCAATGACATTGTCACAGCTGAGACTGGTTTCACCCAGGTGGAAGGAAAAGCTTCTCCTAGTCTAACTGTAAAACCAAGAAGCTGAAATCCTTGGTTAGGCAGTTAGATTTCCTGTCAAAATCCCCTCAACAGGAAAGTCAGATTGTCCCTTCTCTGCAAACTTAGGGTAAGCCCAGCTCTATGTAGCTTATATATAAGAACAGATGACAGGATCCAGTTTCTTTACTCCCAGGTAAGCCAGGTTCCTTTGGAAGGAAGAGCTCTTGTCCAACCTGTATTTCAGCCTACTCAGTCAGGTATGTCTTTGCTCATGGCTTATGTGAGCGCTGATGAACAAGCAAGGGATTCTACCTTCAAATCACTGTGAGAGAACCAGGGAGCAAAGATTTAGGACACCAAATTTGCACTTAATTATAAGAGTGGCTGGAGGTTGAAACACCTACATAGCTTCTTCTTGCGAGGATTAAGGAAAGCTGCATTAGAAAAGAGAAGAGATTAATTCCTCTGATAAAAACAGGAGCTCTCAGGGCAAACTGCGAGGCAAAACGCTGCTCTCAAATTAAGAAAAACAACTTCCTCTCACTTGGCATCAAAGGTCTGCAGAAACCCTTTACTGCATTTCATTCCCTAAGTTGTCACTTAGGGCAGTCAGCTATTTCCTAGGCATCTGTAAAGCACAAGCTGCAGCAGAGGAGAGGGCAGCAGGGCTGTCTGGGCTCACTTTTAAAGGGAGAAGGGTAATGACTAGGTCCCTAGCATGTGTTCTGCTCTCATTAGACAAAATTTCCTCCTTCCCCTGATGAGCAAGGGAAGAAGTAACTCCTCCTATCTGGAGAAACATTTTGACCACCTAAAATAGTGAAAACCCCTGAGATATTTGTTCTTGCTGTGCCAGCTTCATGTGTGAGACCAACCAAAGAGGCATTGGTGAAGAAACAGGTTTTCTGATTAGTGAAAGGTGGGGTGAGGTAGATTAGAAAAAAAGGGAAGGATTTTTTTTTTTTCATTTCAAATCTGTTGGAGATTTCTTTATCAGGGATTGTATTTCTGTGTGACAAGAGAGCACTGCAAGTCTGGGTATGCACCTTATTTCCACTTTAAGGCAAATAACTATATGCACTGACTACTAATCACCTAGATCTGCTCATCTGCCATTGTAAGTAACTCACACACGGTAAAGAAGGGCTCATTTTCCAGGTTAGATACCACTGTGGTTTGGGTACCAGTAAATTACCCACTGGTTTGGGTAATTTACTGTTTCCATCATAAGTCCCAAGAAGCAAGTTTGTTTCAAAATAAAAAGCTTCTTATTCACATTTTGCAAACTCCACAACCAGATATGTTGGGGTGCTTATCAATGTAACACCTTCTACAGGTCTCTCTTGAGAATAACTTCCAGGGTGACTCAAGAAAGCTGGCCCACCTTCTGAATGATTTTAAAAAGTAATAAAATGAAGCAAAACACTCACTTAATCCCTGGGACATCCAGGAGGTTGCTCATGCCGGTCCAGTTGATTTCCAAGTGCTAAAAAGTCGAGGAGAAAAATAACACAGAATAAGCAAAATTACTTTCAAGACAAATGTGGAATTTAAGGGGAAAGCAAACACTTCTAAAACAAAGCCAGCTATTAAAAAAAAGGAAAAAAAACTGCAACAGTAAATTAATGTCTTTACACATTAAACTAACATCTCATAACAATTTCCTTATCTATTTTGCCTGCCATGCTTGAAATGAGGGTTTCAGAGGGGAACACAGTATCCAGCCCCTAGCAGTGGTCATTGCCAGATGCCTCAGAGACCTCTCTGGTAAATCCATCAGTTCCACCTATGTTTGAGGTTGTTTCCTCACCCTTGGGTTTGATTCATGCCTCGGGGCAGGAAGATTTATAAGCAACATCAACTTCAGGAGATCTCTATTTCTATTCACCCAATAAACAAAAGAGGTGCTAAGATAATGCTACTATATACAAGCACACACACAAAAAAATCTCATCCAGTATCAAAACTGTACGGCTTCCATTAGCTCAAGAACAGAAGCAAACAAAGAATTCTGTAGGTTGTTCTTACAGGGCAAGAATGTTTCTCGTACTTTAAACTGGACTCAGCTAAGAGGTGTATGTAAGCATAAACAAGCAAGCTTTCAAAGCATGAATGGGTCCAAGGATGCAGTATTTGCCAGGAGCCTTGCAGCAAGTGCCTGCAAAAGTGCTGCCTGTTGTCACCATCATAACATCCACTGTTCTTACCCTGAAGCAGGTAACTTATGGCAATTGTAAGCGAACAGGGCAAATTCATTCCCTTCAAAGATGAGCATTTAACAATCACTAATTTGCTAACCCAACAGCAGCCTCAACAACACCAGTTGTATAGTTGGGTGAGTGGTGATGGCCTGTTTGTGTCACGCACTGAAGACCAGTCCACACAGTAAGGCAGACCAAGGAGTGAGGGGCTGCAAGACCGCAGCTCGCTAGCGACTCACCGGTCTCTGCATAAAAAACAGCGTCACTGCTCCAATAAAAGGTGCATCATTTAGGAGAGGTTCCAGTATCACCCGCAGCGTCCCATACAACTGCAAACAGAGCACACCAAGGAAATAATTTTACTCAGAATTTGACAAAAGTAACTCCTCTCCTCCTCCCCCACCAGTGCAAGCCTGACTGCCACTCAGCCCGTGGATGAGCACCATCCTGTTGGTGCTTTGTGAGCTACCTGTCACCAGCGTTGTAAGAACAGGCTGTAAGACTAATCTAAGACCTTTTATGAAGATGCTAACCTAACGGGCTCTTATGAGCATGCAGCTCCTCTGAACTCATGGCATGAGAGCTGGCTCACACACGCTCAGGGCTCTAGCACTGGGCCTGTTTAAGAGCCATGTTAAGAAGCTTAAAACTAACGGTTAGGTGCTGGCCAAGAAAGGCATCATTTTCCCAGCCAAAACACAAGCTGATTAAGTGATTTGCCCCAACTCAGTCAGCCTGTGGTTTCCTAGTCAAGTCCTAACATCTCCACTGGGACATGCTACCTGCTATAGGCTTAAATGGGCAGCTTTAGCATTGCACTTACCTGCACGCCTTTCACTCCAAGCTTAAATTTCGCTATGTCCATATGAAGCTCACAGTCCCCTACGTAACTGAAAGAAAGTTCTCACGTTATTCCAGTTTGCAATAGCCTGGGGAGCAAATCTGTACAGAAAATAAAGAAAATGAGTTTACTGACACACCGCCAGAGCACGACAGATTTCCAGCTGTATTTCAAGGTTGATTTCCCATTCTTAGGACTGGAAGGACTGAGTGGAGAAGAATTGCTCTTAGGAAGGGATTGAGGGGCTCACCGGGAATTCAGGGTCACAGAAATTGCTCTTTCTCTCCCCTCTCTGCCACAGGCCCCAATGCCATGAAAAAGAAACCAGTGTTCCAACTTCTGAGCTGATGCAGAGCCCTCCTGCCATCATGTTTAGGACTCTATGTGATACAGCTCATCCTTGCCAACAAGCAAAAAGCCCAGAAGAACAAAGTCAACACTAAAAATAACCTGGTTTCCTTAAGGCTGAGGTAAAGGACAGTGATTTAGATTGGATTTTGATCAGTTGCCATGGAGAACATCAGGCTTTAAATAAAATGAAAGCCAAAGAGGGTACTTCTTGCCATTTGGAAACCACTTCAGAGTTAGATAAAAGTTTCGATGCAAAAACCAAGTCACTCCCCTAGGAGCAGAACCCAGCAGATTTGTTGATGCCTCTGGCAGAAAACAGTCCAAGGTCTCCTAGGTTTCCTTTCAGTCCTTGGAGGAATAGCTCTTTGTGGTACAGACACACAAATTAACAGTAGGCAAAGTGGGGTGTACAGGTACCATGGTGCATGCAGCAAATGTGCTGTACTCACCTGTGTGCACTTCTATCCCACGATCAAAGAAAAGAGACCATTTTTTTGCGCTGACCACATGTGTATATGGGCTGGAGTTGCCACTAATTTTACCCTTTAATTTATTCATGAACAGATTCTTTCTCCCCACAAAAAAAGCAGTGCAAAGAATGTGTAACCTTGCGCAGTCTTCACTTCTACAAGCAAAGTTTCCAAACTTATTAACAGAGAGTCAGTTAGCAGAATGTAAGAAGTTCATAATATACAAATTAAAGCCTTCAATGGTAGAGCATTCTGATTTTTTTAAATAACCAGCCTCACAGGGCGTGCTAAAATTATCACAATCCTCCTTATAAGCTAGTCATATAATTATTTTCACATTTATTAATTTCTACAGTTTTAATATATCTTACAGTCCATTACACTGACTGCTAATAAAGCTTTGTCACCACAGTCTAAATAGGAAGCCAAAATGAGCCCCTTAATTTGCACTAATCCAGAAGAATTGAATTTGCCTGTTGCCAGTGTCCAGCACACAGCAAATATTACTTCCAGTGTTCCCATTTACAATCCTTATGACTTTTCACACAATCAAAAGCTCTTCCCACCCCATCCTAGCCGTGTGTCTTCTCCAGCACCCTCACACAAGCCTGTTTTGAAGTCTGGGTACCACAGCAGGCATCACGTCATGCCAGGTGCTCTCCCTTCCTTAGTTTTACTTCTTGTTTCAAGTTCACTGCTTTCATCTGCCTCCTCCTCTCAGTGCATCCTTCTCATCCCCTCTGTCCCAGCAGAAATCCTCCTGAGACACCAGACCCTCTGCCCTTCATCTTCACCTAGGAAGCAAGTGCTGCTTCTCTGCTCTGCTTAGACAAGCTTCCCAAACCCTGCAGTTTCTTGGGAGACCCTACAAACTCAGTTAATCCAAACCCACCAAAGCCCAAAGTATTGCTGCATACTACTCTGGATTACTTCTCCAGTCTGCACTGGGTGACAGTGATTATCCAGAAAGATTTGCTAGTTTGCTAAATAGCAAATTTAACTATTTCAGAAGCTCAGAGGAAGTTCAGATCTTCTTTTGAAAGGGTAAATGGAAATGCTGACAAACTTTTACTTGTATATATTTTTATTATTACACTATCCCTCCATGACATCTCGTGCACTAAAAATGCCATAAAAGTGCAAGAAATGAGAAGTCACAACATTTCCAACGGAAAAAAAAATATTATAAGAGTAACAAATCAGATGAATGAAACAGGAAGTAGTTGAGTTCCAAGACATCCCTTTCAGGATGTAATAGTGCTTTCAAACACTTTGAGCCTCTCATGATTATAGAGCAGGGATCGCACGGTCCCACCGCAGCTCTGGCAATTAAAGGATTAATGGCAAGACAGGCAGCAGTGGGAGGTCAAGCGGCTGCACTAGAGGAGCTGCTCCTGCTTTGAAAACTGCACTTTTAGGGAGCATTTCTGGAAGGCTTTGGCATTCATTCACTCAGTGGACACGACTGTCAGCTCCCTAGCTCAGCAGGCAGATTCTTGCTTTAGACCTAGGGCCAAACACTTGTAGATCCCAGAGCTCTCCCAGTTTATTTCCACAGACCTGGAAATGGTGAGATCTCATCTTCAATTTAGCCCTTGGGGAAGCTCTGGTACTTCCCTGTTTGTCGCTTGAAAGCTGTAGATTGGGAGTGCGGAGGAGTGGATATGTGAACAGAACAGACAGATGACAGGACTTTCAGAGAGATAAATGGCTGAAACTCTGTGCAGAAGACCTGTGGGCAAGTCTCAATTTCCCCTCAGTCCTACAAGCCAAGATAAAATTTACACCGACTTAATTTGCAACAACTGAGTGCATCATCTCAGCAAAAGATTTTGGAAGAAAAAGCATGGACTCCTTTCTCTGTGCCTGGCAAAGGGTCACCTCAAAGCCTCGATTCTCCTATCAAAGGCCCCAGGACAGTCCTCTCGCACAGGACAGTCAGGCTCTGATGAGATACTGCTTTACATACCCATTCCCAATGCCCTGATGCTATGGACACACAAGCTGTTATTAACAGATTTAATTAAAGCAGCTCATCTCTTTTCTTCTGGTAACTCCATGTGATACCAGACCTACTGCACCACTGACTTTGCTGACAGCTGCTGCCCATACAAATGAGGAACTTTTAAGTGCCCTTTCTCACGGCTCCCAAGCAAAGCTGCTCCCAAATGAGCTGCTGTATCCCAAATCTAAGAGAGGAAAGGACGCCGACCTGAATGGCAGCACTCAGTGCCCCATCACACTATGGGGACCAGGCAGAAACAGACTGAAGAGCCTCGATGAACCTGTAGACCCCACATCTCCTGGTGATGAAAGCTGAGCCAGAGCTTCCATGCTGACTGTGAAGGAAATCAAGCAGGAAAATGCTTCTCTCCATGCCAAATCAAAGTCTCTGGGTTTCAGAGATTAATTTTCTCCTTGATGGAACAGGAGTAAAAATCCTGACACAAGGCAGAAAGTGGGAAGCATTTGTAGCGTGTGCGGAGGTTTCGGGATGGTGCCTATAAACAAAGCACTACTGAACACTGGAGTGGAGCAGAGCTGCCGCCAGGGCGGGAGGAGAATTATCCAGGATAACAGCTTCCCACGGGAAGTGGCAGCTCCCCTTCCCTGTCTGTCCTGGCCCAGGCAGCACAACACCATGACCAAGCTCTGCACGTGTGCCCTGGCAAGGGAATTCCCTTGCGAAGAAGTCGTGTTTAGCTTTGACATGCAGGCATGCAAATGCTGCAGTGTCTTTGCAACAAGCTACGCTTCTCAAACCCAACCAGGGAGAGGTCACCGTGGTCTGGGCACTGCAAAGCGAACCACGCTCACACGCACAGTGCGTTACTCCGCCATCCAGAGCTGAGGTGCCAGGATTCAGCCCTGTGGACGGTGATTCAAACCACAACTTTTCAGCAGCCAGGGCCTTCAGAGGGGATGAGACAGAGAAGGAGGCTCTGCCACTAGCTCTGCTTAGAAGGGTAAAAACAAGGTAAAAACAAAATGAGGTAGCTGAGATGCAAGTTTGCTTCCAAGCACCTTCGCATGGAAAACAAGTAAGATGATAAAATGCTCTCACTTTATCAGTGGGTTTTGGACTCTACAGGTCATAATTGAATTTTACTTTAACAATCAAGCTGTCAGCATTGATTAAGAAAAGTCTGGAGCACACATCAATGCTAGCTGGGAAGACAGCAGCAAAGGACAGTTGCCAGTATGCAACAACGTCCACATGTAAAATGCAAGTCCACGATCTTCCTAATCTGTAGAAACCTCTAATGTGGGGATCCTGTAAGATAAGGGTCACTTTCAGTTCCTCTCACTTCCTCATGATATCAGATATACTGAGAAATATTTGGTCTTTGCAGTGAAAGTTAAGGGAGGTTATTTCAGGTGTGGTACTCACTGCTGCCCCTTCGCTCCAGCACCCATTCTCACTCTCCGTACACAGACAGACGATGTTTGTTTGCGCTGACTGGGAATGTCCACACTGCTCCGGGGCTCATTCCCGACTGTGGGAGCCTCGGAAGGTCCTCCCTGAGCTGCAACAGCCCTGGCCAGACACTCCTCCTTGGACACGGCGCTCGTTGGCACACGCACAGCAGCCTCTCACGGGTTGCGTGAGCTTGAGCAGCCGCCCTGGCCACGTCGCCGTGCGCCCGGCTACGTCCTCATGGATGTGGGATGGGGCCGCCCGCATCCGCCGCCGCCAGCCGGCTCCTCTCCCCAGCAGTGGCCGCAGCGGCGCACACGGAGCCTGCTGCAACACGAGTGTTGCCACCGACACCGCCACAGTGCCCAATGGAGACACCGGCTCTCCCAGCCACATGAAAACATCCCTCATCCTGCTGGGATATTCTGAATTTAACAGAGGGAGCTGTAATTAGCTGTGGGAAGGAGACGCATGCTTCATGTGACAAGACAGTGTATTTACAGCAGGACTCCCTTCCTCCCTGTTGTCTCCTTCCAGATTCCTTTGGCAACCTGGAGAAAAGCAGGTAAAAACCCAGCCCTGGCTGCCGTTCCTGGTGGTGACACGCAGCTCGCCCGCCCCAACCCGAACCCGCTGCCCTCAGACTAGCGTGGGAGGAGCAGGGCCCAAAGCTCAGCCCTGGAGGGGAGTTCCCTGCCAAAGGGACAGGATAGGCTGAACACCCCTGGCTCCGTATGCAAAATCCTTGGCTTATCAGATGACGGTTCAGACAAAGTTACTGCCAGAAGGAGGAGCAGAAGCAAGTGGCCAGTTTGGAGATGCTGAAGGGTCTGCTGGAGGGATGGGAAGGAGGGGGTGGGGGAACCCCTCTGCAGCTGGTTATTAAAAGAGAGCAGAAACGAGTACTTGGGAGAAGCAGCCGGGAGCAGCTACTTAACAGAGCACAGCAGCAGCCTCCTGCAGAGCCTTCAGGCAGGGAGCCCCTCCATCTCAACATGGAAGAGTCCAAGTGCCAAAGGCCCTAAACTGACCCCGCTATCTCTAAGGCTGCTTCCCTGCTTGCACCAGAGCACAACATGCTCTGGTTTCAGGTGAGCCACAAGCCGTTTTGCAGGAGCGCCGGGGCCCTGCCAGGGCCCGGAGCAGCTGCCGCTGCCACGTGAAGCAGCCCGCGCCGCTCCGAGCAGCTCCATGTCGTTGCCAAAGTCATTCCTTAGTTTCACACTATTTTTTTTTCCTGGCACTACCATGAAGAAAAGTCATCCACCACCCTTAGAGTGCTACAAGAGCACGCAAGTGGTAATTCCCCAGTAATTTCATTCTCCAGGCTAAGCCAGAAGAGAGTTTAGCTCTGCAGTGGTGCTGATGTTGACAAAACACACAACAAGCTCATTCAAACCAGCCTGGAAGGTACCAAATGTTTTATCTAATTTTCTTGTTGCTAATAGAGCTCAAGGCAGTTTTCTGCTGAAAGAGCAGCTGCAATGAAAAAAAAAAAAAGCAAATATGTTGGGTGACACATGGAACAAGTAATGAATAAAACAAGATCAGTCTAGGGGAAGAAACTACATAAATAAATAGTGCAAGTAGTCCTGGAAAAACTGGAGTAGTTGGACTGAAGAGGAACCCCAGAAGGGCAACACACAGAGTTATCAGAGCAAGAAATACTGTCCCTACTGCAGTGGAAGGGCAGAGCTGAGGGAAAATACTCTGATATCCATCAACTCACAGGCAGCTGCCAGAAGGGCAATGAATTAAGAACCACCTATACAATCAATTATGTTATGTTACCATATCTGCAGGTCCAGAGTAACTTGTCTTCTATCAATTTCTTTGGTGTAGACTTTTATTCCATTAATTCTAGGGCACTGCAGTAAAGACAGACAAGACACAGTTAATATCTTCAAAGTCACAGTCAACTGAAGAGTCTTGCTCTCCTCATGCAATCCAAATACATGCGCTCAGGTTAAAGACTGTGCACAACTACAGGTAAATAAAGAGCAATGTGCACAAGTTTGTCCTTAAAGATATAGTATGAACAGCCTTGGAAGTCCAAAGATATGGGGCTGGCTGCAAGGAGCTCAGGCTGCAATGAAACCTAAGGAAGCACCAAAAACTCCTGCCACAAAGACGGAGCAGCAAGGAATGCTGATAAGTGCCCTGTTTCCTATCCCCATCCCTTGATATGAACAGTTAGTGGGAAGGGATCTCTGTGCCTCCTGCAGCATCCCTCTCGTGGAGAAGATGCTCAGGTGATCAGGAGGGGAACAAGAGAGGCAGTGGTGCCCTACCAATACCACTCTCTTAAATATTGAGTGCTATTAAGGAGCTGAGTCCTAGAATCCCCCCAAAATGCTCTCCCCTTCGTGTCTCAGCTTTTCAGAAGAGGCTGAGCTGTAAGTGCTGCAAAGGATTCACACTACCTTCTCGCCAAAGTTGATCTTTGTAAAGGTGCACGTTTTCAGACGCACGTGCTTTGCTCTGATTTTCGGTTCAAGAACTTCTTTAAAGGTTTTTTCCATAATTGTTGTGAAGTATGGCCAAGCCTGTACAAGGACCTACGGAACAGTGAAAGCAAAATTATACTGAATATTCTTTGCAGAAGATACCTTCGACTGAAGGACAGACACATGGCAGAATACCGGTCTATTACTGTCTGTCCTTTTAAAATACCAAGTCACATTTCAGATCTGAAGTCACCCCTCTGGAAGGATCCATTCTTGTTCCTCAGAAGAGGAATTTACTTTAGGAACTGAGGAGTAAGTTTTAACATCACAGAACTTGCTGACTGCTTCTAAGTGCAGCAGCTCAACTGGCAAAGCCCAGGGTTAAAGTTTCTAAAGTGCTGAAGCCTCTAATTACTGAGAAGTGTTGGAAAGCTCCCTGGAGTTAGCTTTATTTAGAGAGGAGTGAAGTAAACTTTTACATCAAAAAGACAGTTTGCTTAAGAAAAAGAACAAGCATAATTGTTGCCGGATGCTAATTTGCCAGATCAGCTGTTTTGCTTTGAATTCTCACGGTTCCAGTGAGAGCTCAGGTAAACCTGCTGATGGGAGAATCAGCTCAAGAGCTTATATACATAATTTAATGTTATACATGCATACATACACACACACATATGTATACACACATACATATCTCAGAATGAAGTGTCATATTCATCATATCATTCTACAACAGATCTTTGGTTGTTTTGGTTTGTTTTCCAGTAAGAAAGAACAAGCTGGTGATATTAGTTCTGTCTGAACAGAGTCTGATTCAGTGATTCCACTTTAAATGCCCAGCCACCAAGGGAGGCATAACCTGGACCAACCAGGCAAACACGTGGCTCTCGCCAAATTCTTGCGGCAACTCTGCACATGTCAAACCACAAGTACAGGCACTGATATGACTGAGCCTTCTTGTAGCAACTTGGAAACTTCCTCCTCCAAACTTCCATGGAATTTGTGCTGGGGGCAGCTCGTGGGAGATGGCCTGGGAAGCCTCACCTTGTTCAGCCACTCTGCTCGTTCCACATCAGGGAAATGAACCTGGATGCAGAGGAAAATAAAGTGAGTGCCACATGCAATCCACCTCCTCATGCTGCAGCATATGGAAAAAGATACCAGGGACTCCGGAATAGGTTTAGGAGTGAGCTGAGATCCTGTCCCTCATGCACACGCCCTTTATAATTTATCACCTCATCTTAAAATCTGCACTAAAGTAGCAAAAGGTGAAAGAAGCCACGTGCTGTGATGGGCCAGTATGTCTCTGGGTGCACTTATGTGATTAAAGCAAGTGTCATATCCTGTTGGGAAGTAAAGCAGCACTAGGTTTCTCATCCCTCTCTTGGTGACGCAGTGGGAAGCCACGGGAAGCGACTTCCCTTTGGCACTGCGAGCGGCAGAGAGCCCGTTTCGGGCTCCCCCAGAACAGGACACGTGCATTGGAAAACAGGAACCCGCTTGGGAAATTCAGTTTACTATTTGCGACAGGATTTCTACACTAACACTGACACAGTGCCAGTGGCTTTAGGCAAAAAGAAGTGCCGTAAGAGATTAAGCCTATTGCCACACACAGTCAGCTTAAAAGCTCGGCATTTTCATCTCTTGGAGCTTTTGAAGAAGCTAAGTCATAAATTAAAATACCATGGGGCCAATCCATACTAAACGGATTGTATGGAAATACGTCCCAATTCAGCCTTTTTCTTCTGCCTTATTCATCATGATTCTCATCTGCGACAGACAGTGTAAATTTCACAGAGAAAGGTTAGCTCTATCATTTGTGAAAAGCAGGTTTTTCCAGCCTTTTTAAAAAACAAATAAATAAACAGGATCCTTCACCCCCCAAAGCGACATGCCACACTTTGCTGTAGGATGACTGTATATTTATTTATTTCACACCAGTGACACTTGTCACTGCCTGCCCCGGCCTTGCTGCCCCCACCGATGGCATCTTCCACAAGGACAACAGCCTGGCAGGACTCAGCACTGCAAAGGCACTCAAACATGCAGGGACTCCTTAGATATCATTAGCCCCATATAGAACCTGGGCAGGATGATACTTCAGCCCCTTGCACAAAAGGCTGTGTGTGAATTAGACTCTTCACTCAAGGGTTTGCTCTTTAATTCGGCAGCTTTCAGAGAGGTGCTCAGAGCTGTTTGGGTACAATGGACAGTTGCTGCCCTTTTCTTCCTGCCTGCTGTACAGAGCAGAGCTCACTTCCCTTGCTCGAATAATACTTCAAATTATCTGCAATTATTATATAAAAAAATCACAAAGGGATATTACCATATTCTTTATAAACAATTCCCGTTGATGCTCTAAATAGCATCATACTCATCCCCAGTCCAGCATGGTTAAGAGAAGAAACACAAAACATCCCCTGCTAAGCCCAGATCCAGCCACCAGGAACTGCCAAAGTTAACACTATCCCAGAATAACACTTGCCTTGGGCAAGTCACACTATCAAAATCAGTCTTCCCCATCCGCCAAAGCAAGCACAATTCTTGCCAATATTTTAGGAATGCTGCAAGGATTACTTATGATTGGAAAAAAGCTTTGAAGATCAAATATGCTGCGTAAGGGCCAATTACTAGCAAGAAAATAAAACATATAAGGTTCTGCTGGGCTCTCTCTTGCCCTGGAGCAGGCAGCAGCTATGGTCATTGTAGAAATCGTCTCTGATTGACAGCGCTGTTCTGTTCAAACCACACAAGACTGGACCCATCAAGGTATTTTTAAGAGACCTTTTTTTGGCTCTCTGCTCATGGCCAGAAGGAAACCCTGCATAAGTCTTCTGCATAAAGAACTAGCAGGTGATATTTTAAAAGGACCGTTTGTAACCAGTAGCATCAGCTTCTTTTAACACAAAGTTTAAAGTCAGGAGGAAATGCAGCCCCCCTGGATGTTCCCACTTGCTGTTTGCTGTGGAAGCGACGCGGGACGGTCATCAGCACCGCACAGGAACCACTGCTGCTGCTTCCAGAGCCTTTCCGAGGGTTTCACTGCGCTTCCAGCCCCCACTCCCGCTCGCCCAAATCTCATTCCTACTCCCACCCCTGAATGTCAGGAAAGAATAACACAGGAGCCGTTTTTAGAGCAGTTTCAATTGAAGATTCATGAAGGTTGGGAGGCACAAATGAAAGCTATAAAAAGATGACACCACAGACAATAGACTGAATAGACAGCGGGTGAGAAGAAACCTCCAGGAGTGGCACAGGGGAGAAGGGGGAATAGGAGGAAAATGAAAAATGAGAAGAAACATGAGGGACAAGTGCACTGTGGCACCAACTGATGGTGAACAAACTTATCAGGGTAGAAAAGGAAAGGAGAAGAGGGGGCAAATACTGATGAACGCTGCAAGCAAACACGCACTGAAACCCCTTTATCCTTCAGTCCTACACCCTTCCTTCTTCCAGGCAACTCCAAAAATGCTACGGTCAGGAATGAAGTAAAAGTGCTCACCCCTCTCTTCCCACTTTGGCCACCTGTCAGGAATGGGCTGCAGGACAGTTACTCCGGGCACTGCGGAACACACTGTGGGGAGCAACCACAAGCCTCTGTCCTGCATTAGGGCCGTACTATGTTTGGGAACGGTGGAACAATTTGTATAGGAAGGCATCCTGGAGGTCCCTAGTCCAAACCTCTCTCAAGGCAGGGATAATATCAAAGTAGGGAGGTCAAGGGCTTCTCCAGGTGAGTTTTGAGCATCTCCAAGGATGGAGATCCCACAGCCTGCCTGGGTTCTAGCCCAGTGCTTGGCCCCTCGAGGGAGTTTCAAGGAGTTTCTCTTGCTGCTCGTGACCATCAAGCCTTGTCCTTTCACTGCGGCACCTCTGAGGAGAGGCCGACTCTCAGCTCTGCATCCACCCCTCAGGCAGCGGAAGGCAGCAGTGAGACGCCCTTAAACCTTCCTGCTCCTGAAGCAGCCTCAGCAACTGCAGCTCTCGGTGTCTCCTCGCATACTCGGTGCTCCAGTCCCTGACCCTCCCGGTGCTCTCTGCTGTGGTCTCCCATCTGCCCAATCTTTTCATGCTGGGGACACCCAGTGCTCCAGGGGCAGCCGCCCCAGTGCAGAGCACGGGGCGATCCCTTCCCTCCACCGTCTTGGAGTGCGGGATACACTCTGGATGGTATTTCGGACACTTCCAGCAACAAAACCTTAAACCTTTGCGCTTTGCTTGGGGAGGGGCTTTTACTATTTAAAACGGACAGTAATGGGCTTAATTTGTGTTTCCCTGGGGCTTGAGGACTAAACGCAACACTGTAACCACAGGATCAGGGCAGGAGCCCACAACACGATTCTCAGTAGTGCTGGCGCTGTAGTAAAACCTCCGTGAATACAAAACGCAGGAGCCCC